GACAGTTTTTTACGGACCTGAAAAGGGGAGAAGATCAATTAAGCTTTCTAAAAAGTATATTATGGTTCCTAAATAACTACAATCTTTTAAAATCATCAACAGTACACATCATACATACAATGCTTTTAAAACAAAACTTACATCAGCACAAAAGCCATTGGGCAGAGATATCCTGTCAATAAGGGACTTGACAACCCTTGATGCTACGCAATACCTTCGGAACCATGCCCACTTATGAGCCTCTCCAGAACCAACACCACTATCCAGTTCCAGGTCACAAGCTAAGCCAACCAATACCTTTGTGGGAGAATTAACAAAAATATAAAATATGGAAAATACAGTAGATAATAATATGCTAAAACAAAATCATATAAAATCAACCTGAAAAACAACAGCATAAGTGATACCTTGAAGAATTGAGAATGCATAAGGTGTTTTCCTCCCCTCACTAAAGGATCTTCATACTCTGCCTGACGTAGCAAAGCCTCTGGTAAGCCTTTCAGGAGGCTTACAAGTGGCATTTCAGGAGCTTGTTTTACTTCAATTTGAGGCTTGACAAGACTGCTGGAGGATTCAAGGCTTTCTGTGCTACCACGCAATGATTGTGGGGCAGGTGGAGCAAGTGACTGTGGGGTGGGTGGCACAAGTGATTGAGGTGCAGGCAAGCTCTGGGATATTGCTGCTTGTGGCACTGGAGAAATGGGTCGAGATGGGGCAGGTGTAGAGCTGGATGAATATGATGCAGATAACAGGGCTTTGATATTGAGCCCTGATCCAATATCCGTTGTTACAATTTTACGGAGCGTTTTGAGAGCCCACATCCGTTGGCTGGGAGCTATGAACCAGAAAGGACAATTAGTGATGATGATTAATAAAAAAATAAATCTGAGAGAAAACAGCATATCACCTTTCTCATTTGTATACTAAAGAACAGCACTGGTTCAAAAATCACCAGTTATAACTTACCTAGAGATGACAACTGAGCACACATAGCAAGGGAAGCAGCCAATCTTGACAAGATAACACTCTGGGTACACAGTGGGAGCAGAGAGTCCAACAAGCACATCGGCAAATCCACTAAAGGTCGTGAAAGGAGACGCCGGTCACTATGCAGGTCTCGTGGTGCAGCGCAAGGCATGAGAGGGAACACTGTGAACCTCCATCCCCATCCATTCACAGAGCCATCACTGGTGAACTTCCATCTCAACTCATCCCCTAGTTAAAGGTAGGATTTGAATAACATCAGCTCGAGTAGTAAAGAAACAAGGGGATAATATAATTCCAAGTATAAAAGGGACCAATACTAGCAGTAAGAGTATATATCTGGATATCTTAAAGTCTATTGCAGTTAGATCTTTTCAAATTGGGTACAAATAAGTTTTGCCTTTTCTAGAAGGACAAGTTAGCCTGAATACTTCAGAACCAAATAACAGTTACTGAAGGTTGATTTGATGACAAATTATCTTTTTTTCCCATTCAATGTTTCTCTATTTCCATAAAGTTTTGAAATCTCATATGGATACTATACCTGCAATTCTCACTTCTGTAGACCAGTCAGACCACTCTCTTCCTGAGCGTGTACAGATGACTTTCCCTGAGCCATCCATTATGGTCAAGGGATCGTGCTTCCTCTCAGTAGAACACTGTCGATCAAATTCTACTCTAAGGGCTTCAGCACCTGGAATTATATATAAACTTTGTAAAAATTGCTTTAAATCATCTAAGCTTAAACCAACAAACACATACAAAACATACAAATGCAAAAATGTACACCACAAAAAACAAGTATTCCAACACTTAATTTCATTCTTTCATTAACAAAGGGAAAAACCCACCAGGTATTTTGACAACACCAGTGAGGGTAACATCATCTGTGTAAGGATGAGAGCTCTCCTGCACCACTGGCTGTGGCACAGATCGCATGGCCTCAGTGTCTGTAGCTGCATCTTCTAGCTCTGTCACACAAAGCTCTGTCAGCATACCAGCAACTGTGGGATTCTCCTTAGCCAGTCCTATAAAGGAATTATAAAAAGGTGTTACAATTACCAGAGATCAAAATGAGTACTAGAATTTATCATTTGCAAAATGGATCTTCACCCCAAATCAATATAAAAACATTCTAGTTATTTTCCCCTAACTCACATATGCATATCCTTCTTGTTCCATAGAAATCTGGATCTATAATACAATCAATCCATTAGCTTTTATCTTAACATCCTCCACTACTCACCCATCTTTCAATAACAGACATAAAAAATGTCCATCAATAAAGGAATGCACACATTAATCTATTTACCTGTAAGAACTCTAGTGATAGCAGGGGAGGCCTGTGGTCCAGCTCGACCTGCCACAGCTAGTTTCAGGAGGTCAACAAGAACTCGTGCGTCATCCTCAGTTAACTTTCTTGTGAACTCATCTAATCCATTACATATCACATCATCTTCAGGAAGTTCAGCCTCCTCAGAAACCTGAAGCATTGGTAAAAACATTTCCTAATTATCAAATATAAATGACACAATTTTGGTACCACACTGTTAAATGTTGATGAGAAATAATGACAGCCTGAAAGCTACTTAAAATCCAGAAAAAAGGGTATAAATGTGAATAAATTTTCCAACTGTGGTAATATCTCCATAAGTGCCTGCAGTTCATATTGTTTACATAATACTTCATCAAGCAGTTCCATATTTGTAATCATTCATCAGAATATAAACTTACTACATCAGCCTTTGTTGTCAGAGTAGCTGCAAGAATACTCATAGCCGAGTGAGAAAGTCTTGAGGCTCTTGAGGATAAGGACCCAGTAGAGGGTACAGAGGCCAGCTGCAGTAGGACACTCTCCTCACTGTCAGGACTGGTTCCACAACTCTGATCAAATAAAAGTAAACTCAGTGGCCAGTTCTCAAACCTATTCTTATAATAAATGTAAGAGCTGTCATACAGTCATCCATGACATTTATTTATACTACTAGTATCACCCATCACCACAAATAAAAGTGTATGTACATTTTTCCTCTTAAGTAACCTTAAAATGCATTAACTCCACACAAAACATATTACACATCTTAAGAATTTTGCATATTCCACACATAATCCAAATATCTTACCAGAGCTGCAGGCACAGCAGCAGCATCCAGGGCAGAAGCAGGTGCCTCACCACCACCTTCGGCTATTTCACCTCCATTGGGACTGGAGAGTGATGATGAGGTCTCTGCAATGGCATCTGTCATTGACTCTGGAGTCTGTAGTCCACTGATTTTTGTAACCACTTCACAAGCTGGTGGACCATAATAAAGGTGTTATTCATTTTTCATGTTTGTATGAAATCTATAAACTTATGAAGATAATCAGTAAAGAAATATCAATAACTGTAACTATCAAGTTAACTGTTTTAGAATAAATAATCTACAATCTCAAAAAACTATCAATGCAATATAACATCAAATAAATCTATCCGTCACAACAATCCCAGTCAAACTAAATCATTCAAGACTTCTGCAACATTTTTTTTTCTTTACTTTTGATACATATTCATCCACTTATAATCTTTATATGATTAAGCAATCATATTTCCTATGATGAATTACCAAGCTGATGCAATCTTCTACAAGTCATATTAAGAATTAATCATGTTCAACTTTAATCTATTTCCTAATTATGAAGGCCTGGCTTACCATGTAATTCCTCCTTTGTTTGAGACAAGGCTGCTGCTGTGGAATCCAGGGCTGCAATAACACAGTCACGTGCAAACATAACCTGCAGTGCATTTAGTATGTGCTGTAGAGCTGCTTGCCTGGCTGCAGATGACTCAAGGGTTAACACCACCCGTGACAATGATGGATTGATTGGTGAACCTCCACTACTGCCAGGAGAATTGCTATTTGTGACCGTATCTCCTCCTAGAGGTTCTACCACTCCTATTGTGAAGTTGAGGGGGAAAAATTGGAGTTAATTATGATTCACTGAAGAAAGAAAGAAAGAAAGAAAGAAAGAAAGAAAGAAAGAAAAACAAAACACTAATACAGTAAGCCTAATGATGTATCAATGTTCAGTCAAAATAACATAAGGAGCCGTATTCAGGAAATATTCATACCCAGTGCATGGGCTCCCAAGGGGTCCTTTGTAGTTGTGAACATGACTGGCTCTGTTGCAGCTGGCAGAGGAGGGTCAGGGGCAGTCCAAGCAACACTGTGAGAAGATCCACAGGCTACACGAGCAACCCTTACACCTTCTAGACCACAGACAAGGGCTGGTCGTCGATTCACTATAGTTGTTCCATTACCTTGCTGGCCATGATCATTGTCACCCCATGCATACACCTGGAATAAAATTTCAGATTCACTCTTTGTATGAATCCTGTTATCAAATTGTTCCTTTTTATGATCTTTGAAGAAAAAAGATTATTTAATAAATTAAAATATATATATACATGCTGTTCCTACTATACACAAGAGCAAACCAAAAAGAGTCAAGCACTTTATATGACATAGTAATTAAAACAGGAAATTTTCCTATTCCTTTCAAGTATCTTAATCAAGTTTACACAATATGATCCTTTAACTAACCTGTCCTGCTTCTGTCACAGCTAGGCAATGCAAAGCTCCAACAGCAACATGTACCAACATTTTTCTTGCCCGCAAACCTTCCACCATGGTTGGTCTACGTACATGCTGGTCTGTGCCATGACCCAGCCTAAAGTAGTCTCCTTTGCCCCAAGTCCAAACCTAGAAAGAAACAATTCTCAAGATACTACTTGTAAAAGAATATAGATTAAAGTTCTATAAAAATGAACACAGACAATAATGCCAAAAGAACAATAAATGTACAAAGATAATATGGGGAGATAAAACACAAAAATTTATCTCAATAAAAGATTACCATCATAGAACAAAATGCCAGCTATGAGTGCATACCTGTCCAGCTTTAGTGAGAACCAGTGAAAACTGAGCTCCACATTCTATCTGACAGACTCCAAGACCATTAAGACGCTCAATGTTTTGTGGCAAGGAACAGCCTTCTGATCCTCCACGCCCCAACTTCCCAAAATCACCATCACCCCATGAGTAGACCATTCCTTCTGATGTTAGGGCAAGTGTCTGAGCATCACGACTTCCACATGCCACCTGGAAAAATGCAGGAAAAAGTCTTTCTATGTCCTATGGTCTGTACACATTACTGAAAATAACTACTTAAAGTATGTAAATCTTTATCATAATGAAATATTAATATACATCATACATCATGGCATGTCCTTTATTTACCATGTTCTCATTCATAAATACATTACTGACAACCCACTCACACAGCTTCTGAACAAGCAAGCAAGAAAAAAAAAAAAAAAAAAAAAAAAAAAAAAAACATGATAATAAAAATTATCTCAAGTATTGAGAAAAAAATAAATAAATAAAACATAATAAAAGTAATAATTATAATAATTTACCTGCACAACTCTTTGTCCATGGAGGGCCTTCACCAGTTTGGGTTTCAACTGAGTGGTTGTGTCACCAAGCCCAAGTCTACCATATTCTCCAAGGCCCCAACAATAGAGCTCTCCACTTGATGTAATCGCTGCTGAGTGGGAGCTTCCACAGGCAATGTCTCTTATACGCTTTGACTTCAGAGATTCAATGAGTTTTGGCTTGTCATAACTAGTGCGATTTCCATGGCCTAGTTTTCCATCTTCACCTTCTCCCCAAGAAAATATCTGCCATATAAATTAAATTTTTAGTATTGGAAATACAATCTTAACTCAGCCAACTTTTAATTTATGATGTACCTGCCAACTTCCTGTCAACATGAAAATATGGAAAATCTACAAGATAAATATATTCATATGTATAAGATCAATTACTTGTTTAAAAACTCAGGATGAAATCAATAACAACTACACTTAGGTAGCATTCCTACTAACCTTCCCATCCACAGTGAGAGCCATAGCATGGCGACCACCTGAATGAACAGCTACTTTCTTCACAACATACTGACTCAGTGCTGTTATCTGGCGAGGAACTGTGATGTTGTTACAGTGACCAAGGCCAAGCCTTCCGCCTGTTCCTTCTCCACATGCATATACCTATTTAAAAGCAAGAGAACCATATCATAAACTTTTAAATTGCCAGTTTTAAAGAAGAGCAATCTAATAATTTTTTTTTATCATATATAAAAGGAAAAAGAAAAAGAAAAACATGCTTGTGAAATACTACACAAAAATCAACTTACTCAATGGCAGAAAAAAACAATATCCCATATCAAAGAATGTCTTATTCACTCCCCTAACCAAAAATTCTCCTTTAAGTCTTACCTTCCCTTCCTGTGACACCACAAAGAGGGACTTTGATCCTCCAGCAACGTGGACTGGGTGGAGGCTACTAAGTGTCTCCGAGAGGACTGGCATCTTGACTTTTGAGCCCTTGAGCCCACCCAGCTGGTCCTTGTCATTGAGGCCCCAAACTAAGACTTTTGGTTCACCATCGAAGCATATGGTTGAAGTTAGGCTCTTCCTTGTCATCTCAGTGATCTCATCCTAAATTGGAAAATTTTGATTATAGAAATAAGTTTTATTATGGGGGGGGGGGGGGGAACAGACTAAAAATCTTTTAAACAAAAAGTATGACTTTACAAAAACATGTACAACACACAAAACTTTATATGTTCACCTCTACGTCTTCATTGTCAGAAGCAAGGAAAGACACTGTTGAGGCAGGGTCACCAAATTCATCAACTAATTTTCCCATAATTGCCAGACCATGTACACGACAATCAATGCCTCCACTCTTGCACTGCTTGATGCCAATTTCAATATATTTCATGTACTGGAATAAAGAAAGATTGGAACATTAACTGTCACCATTAAAAATACTAGTCACATGATTGCTGTCAGAGAGAAGGAAGGTGCACCAGTTGTTTTCAGTGTTAATGCAGAATTAGTGTATATACATATTAGCCTACTTACTTCTTTCACATTCCGTAGGAGGGTGACCCAAGTGTCTGACGGGGTTATTCTGATAGTCGCTAACTCTCGCATCTTGGCAAGGGAATCCCCACCACTAATCACAACTAATGTAGGCATGTACGAGCTATCTGCTGGGTCCACTAACATACGCAACCACTCTATACCAATGTTGGGCTGCATCTCCAGGTGAATCCAATGCTTTAAGAAAAAAGATAATATATAAAACTAAAATGGATATTCTCCATAACTGCTGGAATCAGAAAAAAACATAAATGATTATCGTGACAATTACAAATGACAACAGGTAGTTTCTAAGCTGTTAACAGCCTTTTGTCCTTCCATTTTTAATTTGCATAAAATCAAAACACTGCCTTCAATTCACCTTGCCTTCCTGTCCACAGCTCTGCCAGTAGCTCCCTGTCCCATCAATCAGTCGATGAGCCCAATTTTCTCTGGATGACACACTAAGGTTCCTAACACAACGGTACCAGTCCTCAATTGTACCGTCGGCACCTCCCAGGATTCCTTCCTTTTTGCGGAAACGTCCTCTGCCTGGGGGCCCTGCATACACAGCTGGACTCCCTGGGTAAAGAAATTTAATCAGTTTCCCTGTACCTTTATGACAGATCTCCTTTCATGACCAAATAATGCTGGAAATTATCATTCTAGGCTATATAGGAAGTATCAAATGTGAAAAAGTTAGATTCAATTTTTAATAATTCAACAGGGTCCAAATTACCTGGTTCAGCAATACGGTTAAACAAATGTCGATGACTTCTCTTTGTCTGATAACATTCTTCACAATAGTCAAAATTGTCACAAACTTTGCATTTCAGTCGGGCACCTGCAATTGATAGAAATTAAGAAAAAACTACCTTTTAAACATAGCTTTTAGAAAATGATATCTACATTATCAATCCCAGAAAACCAATACTTCAGAAAACCATACTGAAAATATAACTCACCAACCATAAAGTAAAGATTCACGAGAATAAATATCCTCACCTGTTATGGGTGAAACACCACAGCCATCACAGGTGACATTCATATGACATGATGGTACCACCTCCATCTCACTAACTAAACCTTGCCAATTAGGTTGTTGTGGGAAGTCAACGATCAGATCTTGGCCATTTGTACTCACACCTTGGAGAAAAATTGAAGATAACAACATATAGAATTGTATTTTTGAGCACTGATGTATACATATTTGTTACAAAAAGAAACTACAAACTATTCACAAAAAGAATCAGTCCAATAAATACTTTGAACATCAACTGTGATGCCACTAATATTCCATCTAAAATTTGCATTCTACTAATACCTACTTGGCTATTAGAGTATTTATTCATACAACTAATTACAAAAGCTAAATGAACACATGTAGTATTCCTTATGCTGATCAAAGCTTGTAAAATGTATGGAAAGACTTACTTGTTACCACACCAATGCTACGGTGATTGACAGATCCCCATTTGTACTTTGGCGTGTTGACAGAGCTCTTGACTCTCACTCTGTCACCCACTCTTATGGGTCCACTTGCTGCTAATGGAGGAGGAGGTTGGTCCAGGAGCTCACTATGGATGTAGCGCACCCAGTAAGTTCCACCCTTCCGTTGCCAGTCCACCTGCATATCAGATATAAAAATAATTATTGGATTAATTAGCAATAAATTCTAAAGAGCACAATTCAGATAACAATCTATAGTTTGAGGGTTTATACAAACAAATTTTCTAGGTTCCAATTAAAACACCAGTCATTTGAGAACAAACCTGAACATTAAGGTTGTGGAGAGATCCTCGATCCACACGCACAACACGCCCAATATCACCTTCATGAACCTCTTCATAAGTTCTGCAGCACCGCACAGTCATCCCAGGGCAGATATGATCCCGAACATACATAGCATATTCATCATTACTGGTGAATTCTGAACGTTTACGATATACTTCCACAACAGGAGATGACTGAAAAAGGAAAGTATTAAAGCTCCTAATCAGCAAGTCTTCTTTTAAAATATCAAAGTAATATCTCATAAATCTAGATGATACATTTTCTTTCCAAATATCATACCTATGTGATTTTTTGCAAATGCAATGGGGGAAATAAAATCATGTAAATTAATAAAAGCAATCACTTTACCTCTAACAATGGTGGCTCATCATTGAATTCATCAGTGAGTGAATCAGCATCTGAGTCAAGGACATCTGGAGCACTGTCGGAGTCTGACAGCGTGAGATCAGCATGTTCTATCAACCAAAGAACTAGGGACTCGGGGCTGGGTGTCACTTCAGTTCCAAGGCCTCCTGTTGCATAGTAGATTTACAGAGTAGTCATATTAAGTAATGGTTCAGAAAAGGTGATTTGCCTTCAGGAACTGCAGGTTTTGTCACCAAAAAAAGAACCAAACACTTCAGTAGCTTCTACAAATAGTATTTGTAGCAACTTCTACACAGACAAATAGTATTTGTAGGAACTTCTACAAAGAGAAGAGAAGAAAAGAGGAGAGAAGAGAAAAGATTAAAGGAAGAGAATTATATAAAAGAGACAAAGAAATACACCTTACCTAAAGCCTTAATAGCATGTTCTACACTTTTACGAGCAAAGCCCATTTCCATCAGCTGGCGCACCAATGGCGAGGGGGGAACTGTTCGCGTCCTCTTTCCTCGTGTAACATGTGATGGATGTGTTGGACGCGGCTGTGTTGAATGATTATCAACCAGAATACCAGGAGATGGAGGGCCAATGGAATGTTCACTGAGAGGTGTTGACAGATCATCATTGGAGCAAGGTGTGGGGGGAGTTGGTTGTGATATCTCTTCCGTTAGACTTTCACACAATGCCAGAGCTGCTGTCTGAAAAGTTAGTTAATGGGCATTAATTTTCACTTTCCAAATGCACGAAGTACTAATCAACTACCTTATGACAATCTATAAATAATCTTTACTTGGAGAGAGAGGAGAGAGAGAGGAGAGAGTGGAGAGAGGAGAGAGAGAAGAGAGAGGAGAGAGAGAAGAGAGGGAAGAGAGAGAAGAGAGAGAAGAGAGAGAAGAGAGAGAAGAGAGAGTGGAGAGAGGAAAGAGAGTAAAGAGAGTGAAGAGAGGAAAGAGAGTGAAGAGAGGAAGAGAGGAAGAGAGGAAGAGAGAAGAGAGGAGAGAGAGTGGAGAGAGTGGAGAGAGAAAGAGAGGAAAGAGGGGTAAGGTAGGGTAGGGTAGGGTAGGGTAGGGTAGGGTAGGAGGGTAGGGTAGGGTAGGGTAGTAGGGTAGGGTAAGGGAAGGGTAGGGTAGGGTAGGGTAGGGTAGGGTAGGGTAGGGTAGGGTGGTAGGGTAGGGTAGGGTAGGGTAGGGTAGGGTAGGGTAGGGTAGGGTAGGGTAGGGTAGGGTAGGGTAGGGTAGGGTAGGGGAGGGGGAGGGAGGGAGGGAGGGAGGGAGGGAGAGAAAGAGAGAGACAGAGAGAGAGAGAGAGAGAGAGAGAGAGAGAGAGAGAGAGAAGAGAGAGAGAGAGAGAGAGAGAGAGAGAGAGAGAGCGAGAGACGAGAGAGAGAGAGAGAGGAGGAAGGGAGGGAGAGGGGGGGGGGGGGAGGGGGAGGGAGGAGAGGGAGGGAGGGAGGGGAGAGTGGGAGACGAGAGGAGAGAGGGAGAGAGGGAGGGAGGGAGGAGGGAAGGAGAGGAGGGTGAGAAGGAGAGGAGGGGAGGTGAGGGAGGGAAGGGAGAGCACCGGGGAGGGAAGGGAGAGAGAAAGAAGGGAGAGAGGGAGAGAAAGAGAGAGGGGGGGGAGACAGGAGAAGGATAGTGGAAGTAGTCGGGGTGTGCGGAGGAGAATCGGCTGGGGTAGGAGCATGTTGACTAATGGGGAGAGTGAGACGAGTCACAGAAAGGAGTCCGTGAAGAATGTAAGAAAACAGTGACCAAGAGTGGAAACGTGTGAGAGCGAAGGTCGAACGATCACCCAACGATGGAATAGGCTAGTGGAGGAAGGAGGGCTACTTAGCGTGAGTGGTGGGGTGTCGGAGATCAAGGAGGGAGGGAGGGCATGAGGAAGGAGGAATGTTGAGCGGAAGAGGGGGGACGAGGGAGAAGAGCGGAGGAAGAGAGGAGAGAGAAGACTGAGAGCGAGAGAGAGGAAGAGAGAGGAAGAGAGAGGAGAAGAGAGAAGAGAGAAAGGAGAGAGAGTAGAAAGCTGTAGGGAGAGAGAAGAGTATACGGAGTGAGAGAGAAGGAGAGGCAGAGAGGAGAGAGA